TCGGCACGTCGCACCCCTTTTATCATCAACATGAAATTCACTTGACCATCATGATGTTGATGGTCACCCCTAAAACCGTGAATGTCTGTCTTATCATGTCCGTGGAACGTCTTTCCCACGTATTAGGGTAGCGCGCGAGGTCCGCGGGTCAAGCGGCTACCCTTAACGGACCGCCCGAAACTGGACATACGAGTTTGTGCACAAATGAAGAACTGGATGACACATGTGTCACAGTGTAATTTTACGCGCACTGTCCGTGAGAATTTTATTATACTCATATCACGCTCGCCGGACAAGCGAAAAAAAAACATTGCGATAAAGTACCGTGGAAACTATTACAACAGACCATCAAACGAATCGGAAATAAAAAATATTATTACGTAACGGATTTTGTACCTAAATAAACTGCCAGAAAAAAATTAAAATTAATCAAAATAAAATTTTTGTTTTTTTGGGTTTTTAAGGAGTAATTCCGGTAATTCCAGGAAAAATTTAATTTTTTTTCTTTTGATGCTTTTGTCATTATATTGTCGAGGAAGACATAGTGGAATTTCTTGTCCGAGCAAGTAACAAGTGTCAAACTTACACGTTTGAACTTAAACTCAAACTTGCTCTCTGCACTTTGCACTGCTTGTATCCAAGTAATAATGTTTTCATATTACTATAACTGGAATAGTATCGTCAGCATGAAAATTTACATTTTTTTTGTGTGACTCTACTCGTAGTGATGATATACGAGGTTTTATTCTCATGTGCATGACGCGTTTTGTCTTTTCTAACATAATGTCATTGTGGAGATTATAATTTAGTGTTTTTAGTGCTGCTTGGTGTTTCTACGAATGTTGGAAGTGTTTGTTTGCACTCTCCACTCAAGTGTCAATGCGTTTTTGTGGCGTGAGGTGAGGTTATGTGTGCGATGTGCGATGTTATACGGCCGTTGATCGCGATAGAGGAGCCTACGAGGAATTCGCTCGTGAAATTTTATTACTTGTGAAGTTGTGTTTATTGTATATACGAATGTGAAACAATTCAACAATGTGAAGTTACGCGTACGTGGAAGAAAGGTTCGGTGATGTCATAGGTAGTGGCAGGTTGTTCAATAGATGGCGTTGGTAAATAGTTTGGGTTTGAGGTTAAATTTATGTCAAATTAAAAAAATTAAAGGTAAAAAATTTGATTCAAACGTATTTAAGTTTTATTTTTAATAATTGGACAAGAAAATTAAGAAATTTAAAGAAAAAAACTTAAAAATCAAAAAATATTTGTTTTTTACATTTTTTTAAATATAAAACACAATTCTTAACTCAAAATTTTATTTTTCCCCACATTTTACTCTGAATTTTAAATGAATAATACTAATTCACACATTCGCGTGCAGTATTGTCTGACACCACAGCAGTTAACCGCATCCGAAAACGTCCGAAACGTCCGCAAACTCTTGATGTTCTCGCTCGATTAGTGACCGCTTGTCTACTTCTTGTAAATACTTACCACTTGCTCTTCTTCTTATACTCACTCGTACTTCTTCTTATTATGCTGCTCTCGCGTATTTCTCGGCTATCCATCCGCGCGGGCTTTGAAATGCACTGCTAACATGCGATCTCTGGTAGCTAACTCTTCGGGAGCGTAATTAACAACAAAATAAACTGAATAAAAAATCCATCAATAATACCAAACGACGTACGGGATATATTCTGATATCACGCAATCGAGTATACTTGAATTTCAGAAAAATCGGCGGTAGAACTTTTGCAAACACGTAATCAACGATTAATTATAGCAGAATTACAGGAAACTGTAATTTTTATTATGAAGTAGGTGTCTATTTAAGTATCTAGGTACTTTGACGTCATATTAATTGAATATTATCAACCTAACCTTACATAAATCCTAACCTAATATCATAACTTTTCAGTTTTTGCTTTTTTGTTCATTTATTACCAAAAAGATCAAAATTACAGAAAACTGTAATTTTATTATTAGGTAGAAACAGAATAAAATTGTTTTACCTATCATAACCTTAAATTAAATTTTTTTAAATTTTACACACTCCTATAACACTTCTACCGCAACTCAAACATGAATAAAATTAAATATCTACTTTACCGATGCGGTAATAGAATATTATCAACCTAATCTAACCTAAAACCTAACCTAAAACCCAATAACTTTCAATAACCTTTCAGCTCCTACATTTTCGTTTAGTTTAATTTAAATAACTTAACTTTTTACTTAAGTGCGTGTATCGTGCGCACCAGTGGAGAGTAATAAATAATCCGAGCATAAATACTCGCGCACGCTCGATTGTCCATACCTAAGTGGAAGTCGAAGACGCAGACCAAAGTCTCGATGGCTTCTAGAGAATCTAGAAGGCCAGCGCACGCTGGAGTGTGATGTTCGTTAGTTGCTTTTCTTACTCTTCTTTGATCTGTTGTTGGTGCCCCGCAGAAGGCAGCAGCGAACGCGTAATTATTAAAGCCTGCTGCTCGATGTGCTCATGATTTATTCATCCTGCGTTTTCCTAATTTCAACTGATACATCATCAGTTTTCCAACTTCATTGCAGCGCATAAAGTTACAGGTTGAAAACAAAGAAAAGAATCGAAAGAAACGTTTACAAATATATTATGGATATTTTTTGATGTTGCGAGTGCTTAATGTTGTGTTTACAGGCACTAGGGTGGAGAAGTATATATATTATTAATTATAACTGTTTATTTAATTTAAAAATATTGGGTAACATTAACTAGAAATCAATTCTTTAAATTTTTTCTCTAAAATTATTATTAAAAATTATTATTTAAACAGCTTATTTGATAGAGAATTGTCCGTTGATTAAGACGCTGCGATCAGATCCCATTTATCTCTTTTAGTTTGCGAGATAATCGCAATTGAAAAAAATGGGCAAAAATTGAAAAATGTCACTTTTTAGCACTTTTAGTCGCGTTTTTCGACCTTTTACTGTAGGAAATATAATTATTTTATATTTTTATCTGATAGAGAATTTTCTAATCTTTCATAATCAACAATTCGTTGGTAGCTATCTCTTTTAGTTTAAGAGCTATGAATTTTTGAAAATCGTCGAAATAAAGTATCAAGCACCCCTCCTTGGCAATTTTTTCTTAAGAATGAAAATTTTATCTCTCAGATTTCCGTTTTAACTATCCTATCTGATAGAGAATAGTCTCTAGATTAAGACGCTGCGATCGGATCTTAATTATCTCTTTTAGTTTACGAGATATTCGCGATTGAAGAAAATGGGCAAAATTTGAAAAATGTCACTTTTTAGCACTTTTAGTCACGTTTTTTGACCTTTTACTATTGGAAATATTATTATTTTATATTTTTATCTGATAGAGAATCATCCAATTTTTCATAATCAGCGATTCGTTGGTTGCTATCTCTTTTAGTGTAAGAGATATGAATTTTTGAAAATCGTCGAAAAAAAGTATCAAGCACCCCCCCTTGACAATTTTTTCTTAAGAACGAAAATTTTATCTCTCAGATTTCCGTTTTAACTATCCTATCTGATAGAGAATAGTCTCTAGATTAACACGCTGCGATCGGATCTTAATTATCTCTTTTAGTTTACGAGATATTCGCGATTGAAGAAAATGGGCAAAATTTGAAAAATGTCACTTTTTAGCACTTTTAGTCACGTTTTTTGACCTTTTACTATTGGAAATATTATTATTTTATATTTTTATCTGATAGAGAATCTTCTAATCTTTCATAATCAGCGATTCGTTGGTTGCTATCTCTTTTAGTGTAAGAGATATGAATTTTTGAAAATCGTCGAAAAAAAGTATCAAGCACCCCCCCTTGACAATTTTTTCTTAAGAATGAAAATTTTATCTCTCAGATTTCCGTTTTATCTATCCTATCTGATAGAGAATAGTCTGTAGATTAAGACGCTGCGATCGGATCTTAATTATCTCTTTTAGTTTACGAGATATTCGCGATTGAAGAAAATTGGTAAAAAATGCAAAATGTCACTTTTTAGCACTTTTAGTCATATTTTATGCCCTTTTACTCTGTATATTTGTGTTCTCTTATTCCCTCGCAGGCTAAAACATATGAACCAATACGTTTATCTCTTTTTAGTGCCGTTTAATTAATTTTGAAATCTCAACAATTCTCAAAAAGTTTTCACTTCAAAAATTCAAAAATCCCACAAAATTTTATTCATGTTGTTGTAAAAAGTGTAAAAACTACAAAACATATAAAAGTTATAAATGTTTCATAAGTGGTTAGTTATACTTCGTGATTGTGTGCAAGCACCATCAATAAAATTTAATGTTTATAGCTTCACACATGGTTAAAACGCACAACTAACAACTCACACATCACGAATGCATTTGAATAGAAACTTAGTTGTTTGGTGTAAGCGAGAATGTTTTTATAAGCAGAGGAACACATTGTATGAAGAGAGGCGAGCGCAGAGTGGATGAGTGAATGAGTGAATGAATATGCACAAAGGATATATTGTGAAAAGAAGATATGAAACGACGAATTTCGTATTTAATATTCAATCTCAAGGACTCGCCGTTTGCTTTTCAAATTGAAATTTATACTGTTAATATCACATTTAGTAATGTATTAATGTTTGTTTATTTATGTGTTTATATCCATAGCAACAATTTTTTAATAATTGTTAATTATGTGTGTAAAGTTATTAATTTTACATAATTTTTGCATTTTTTAAGTAAAATTCTAAAAAATCTATTTTTAGAATTCTACTTTTTATGATTATATGTTAAAAATGTGTTATGTGAGACTTTTTAGTTGTTTTTGGACGTTGAAAGTTTAGTAATGTGTAATTCTGTTGGTTTTGTATATTTTATTTATTTATGACACGCATTTTACGCACGTGTCTTAAGCAGGCGAAAATGAAAATTAAGTAAAGTTCAAAGCACGAATAAAATATTTGTGGTTATTTATTTGTTGATTTTAATTTATGCTGCGTTATAAACAATTTATTACGGAATATTTTAATACAAATTTTTATCAAATATATTTATTTTATGTTAATAAACCGAGTGTTTTTATTTAATGCAAATCAAAAAACAAGATAAAAGGTGGTTCAGAGTTTTGAGATACAAAAAGTGATGCTTTAAACACGGACGGCCGAGGTTGTGACTAAAGTACTTTAGTCACAGGCCATAGCCACGGCTTAAAAAGAAGGCGCTTCTTACAATTTTAAATATTTTTGTTTTTACGCTTTAAAACAAAACTTTACGATAATAATTAATTACAAAATCAAATTGGCACGAAAATAAAAAATAACATGTTTTCTTATAAAAGTATTAAAGTTTTCAAAAACTAGTTTTTCAGTAAAAACAAAACTTAAATTTACTTTTACTTTCAATGCAATTTAGTGACATTTATCAACAATTTACAACAACAAAAAACATAATACACTATAAACAATTTAATATTCAATCAATTTATTATACACTGTGTACTTAATGATTTACTACGCATGTGCACTAGCACAAAATCTCTGTCGAAATGAACGTGTTATCCGCGTCCGTTGACGCTTGCACGTCGCGCATCATCAAATAATTTCCGATAATTATCTCATTAATTTTTCGTGGCGCGCATTAGTATATGAATTCGGCTAATTAATTACCGCATTAAGGCTAGCCGTAAACGCTGCGTCTCGCTTCCTCTCGCTAATGGTTAACCCACAACGTTAATGTTTGTAAAGTCCTTGACGACGACGACGACGACGCTTCGGAACGAAATCGGGAATCATTCGGTCCGCCGGTGATTAGTGATGCTTAACGCGTTAAAGCTCCAAACTGAAAACTAAAGTTCAGGGTCACGTTCATTATAAATCTGGGATCTAGACAAAAATCAAATAAATTGTAATTAAACATTAATTAATATTAATATTTTATATTTTAATTCAAATAATTTAACTTAAATTTTTAAAAGTATAGGCAACCAAGTATACATCTAACACATGTCATTCGCAGGGTTTAAAATATGCGCAGTCGTCGCATTTGGCGGAAACGACGCGCAATAAAAACGAACACACCGCGAAGCCGCAGTCATCCAGCATCCCAGCATCGAACGCACGCTCGCCGCATACAAATGGACCGTAATGAGCCCACAACGGCCCCGGCCATGGGGCGCGAAGACCACGAAGACTTCAAGATAGACACCGACAGTCGACGAGCAAGAAAACCTTGCGCTGCATCAGCTGAAGACCCAAAGAGTAAAAAGTAGGCGGCGACCAAACATTACTTAAGACTTGCTTGTCTCAGATGGACTCCGCAGGACCCCAAGGGGGAAGAAAGTATAGAGTCACGCACAAGACGTACGTCTGCGCTTAATTTAAATAATCTTAAATCAATTTCTACAAAGTTAACATATTCAAACTCAACTTTTGATTTTCTATGTGTTTTTATTTGTTTTGTTTTAGATTTCTGTTGATGATGATGATGATGATGATGATGGGGTAAGTCTGGACTTAAGTCTAGTTAGAAATCAGAAGCAATGGAAGCAAATGGAAGCGAATGGAAGCAGTAATGAACGAGCAATGAGCAATGAATGAACGCAAAATTACAGACTAGTTCTTCGTCTGCGACGTCGTTGCGCACAGCATCCTCCCAGTTCGTGCTCGCGGGCATCGCGATGTCTGGCCGCGGCTACTTTTACTTCTTATTGTAGTCTACAGACTTCTTCTCTACGTCTCTTTCTAGTGTGTGCGCAGCGCAGCACTCGCAAGAAGTAAAAAAACATAGTGTTGGGGAGTCTGCATCTCTGGCCGGGTGCTACCTGAGTGTTACCTGTACCTGCGCAGCGGCCATAACTCTCTGCATCTCGCTTCTATCTTCAACTCCCACGTAGTTTCCATCCGCGCAAGACTTAAGTCAAACGAAGAGAGTGTATTCACTCTGCAGCGCATTGTTGGTCAAACGTTAAGCAGCCACATACGTTTTACATCTTGTGTTACTGTTGGTTGTATGGGTTGAGGGGTTATTGCGCGCTCTGTTGTCGATCGCGTCGGTGCGAACCGATCCGAACGCCCGCCGATCAGCGCGTACCTGCGTACGCCGATCGGCGCGCCGGCAGTCGGCAGAGCGTGTTAGTCGAGGAACACCTGTGGAACCTGTGGACGGCTGTGTGCTGATACAGCACAGCGCGTCGGCGAAACACAACAAACAAACTTTGCTTTAATAACACGCGAGCGGATTAACACATTTTGTAATTATATACGTAAACGGCGTGTGTAGGGATTAGTGGCAGGTTTACAAGATGGACGCAGTGCAGCAGACACCACCGCGATGAGAGCCGGGAGCGGACGATTCAAGGGTAAGTCACTTGATATTACATTAAAGTAACAGACTTAAGTTAGGGTAACACTATTAGATTGAACTTGTTAGTGATTTGTTTATTGTTTAATCACCATGACGACGAGAGCACGACTCTCGCAAACGCACCGCACGCACAATAATACTGTACCTGTTATCCGGTCGCTGGGCCTAGACACCGGCAAACCCGACACTCGACCTGTTCTGGTCGCTTGAATGGCGACGGTACGCCCCAACCTGTTCTACCTGTATGTATGCGTATACATACAGGTTGATACGTCACATCGGGCGCCATGAGATAATTCCCTAATCATAACAAACCACAATGTTTGTCAACAATGTTTTTTATTTTAAAAAAATTTAAAATCTTACATCAATTTTACTTTTTTTTTTAATTTTCTGGTCTGTTAATGGAAATCTTATAAGATTTTTGTTTTTATTTGATTTTATAGGTTTTTGCCATAGAATAGATCTCGACGCCAAAGTCCCAATATTCAGCCATCCGTAATTAGTGCCATACACAACTGAAAACGTAAACGAAGTGCAATAAAAGTCAAAAACAAACCTCTGTGCAAACAAAGTGAACTCTGTGATAGACAAAGTCTCTGCAAACGCCATATTTTCAAAATCAAATCAAATTCTCTCAAATGACCCGACGCAGCATTGATATGCAGACCGCGCACCATGTGAACACCTCCTCACCGCCGGGGATGATGGAAATGAACGGTATGATGTCGCCACCGCCACCACAGGCATCACAAGCATCACCACACGGTTCAAACCATTCTCCTCTGCGTTCCGATGCGCCTAGCCCGCCGACAATGCTCGCCACCATGACACCTGTGAACGTCATCGAGCTGAAAAAAGAAATGGACCGCAAGCATCATGCTATGCAACACCAACATAGCCCACCGCCGATGTACACTCAGGTCAAGACAGAAGTCATGTACGAAAAGGAAGAGGATCTATACGCGGCTGATAAACACGATGCACCCATTGATTTGATCTATGAGGATGGTAATAAAACTGTAATCTATACAACCGCGCCGGATCAGAAAGGGGTTGAGATTTATTCCGCGGATAGCTCACGGGAGATTACTATTAATAGTATAAGCGCACATCAGATGCCCGGGCATCATCATCCGCATCTTGTACATGATGTGCTTGTTGATGCGAATGGGGAGAGTGTCATGCATGGTAACGACCCGCATGATCATCACAATGGGACAGTCAGCGTGGTTCTCCAGGGTGGTGGGCAGGGATTACTACAGTATCCGCAGAATCAAGTGCCTGGGACCACGGTTTTGGTCCTATCGGAACTCGTCGAGGATATGAATGGGTCTGTCGTCGGAATAAGGTAGGATTTTCTGGATTTTTACTATTTGATGTTTTGTTGAAAGTTGTGCATGTGTAGAAATATTATAGAAATATTTCAAGGTTGTTTCGGTCACTAATTATCGTCATTACGATAATATTATTGGTCTTCGCGAGGGAGTCATTAAGTAAATATTTACCGCAAACATCACGTACGACAATAATAAAATAACGTCTTCGGGAATACCAAAACAAATCCCGGGAAAAAATTATGAATTTTTGGTTTGGGTTCTGTTTCGTGTGCACGAGCCCAAAACGTAACTTGATATCGCGTGATCATTTCATTTTTTAAGACGCCATAAAATGGCGACGCGTCACGAGAAGAGAGCCGCGCTTGAGAAGTCCGAGCAGCGTCCGAGTTGGTTTAAGGCATGAACGCATGCGCAGTGAGGTGGTTGTGCGGTGATGCTGCGCTGGAGACGAAGGGAGCATGCCGCGTTGCGAGGCCTTGCCTCGTCGTCGTCCAACGTTATTATTTCACCTTGAACCTAAACTCGAGACGAGCGCTCCGCGCCCGCATGCGCCGCAGCATCTCTGACCACGGTCAGCAAACCAAACTTAACTCAGAGAGTACACTTAAACTCAAAAATTTTAAATCCTCGCCGCTTTGGTCACTTAAGTATTGCAATTATGCATTTTGTAGGCAGGAATGGTGGTGATTGGGCAAGAGTTTTGCGTTTCGTGTCAAATTGAATAATTGCCAGCCGGGCGCGCACAGTAGTTGCCAACTTGAGAGCACACGCGAATACGTAGCTTAACTATTCCGCAATTTGAACGCTAGACGAAGGAGAAAATAGCTATTTGTGTGCTACGCACGGACGTTATCTCGCACAATGACAAGTAAAAGTCATTTTCCAATCGGGCGCTCAAGACATGCAATCATATTTTGCAATCATTGTTTATCTAGCGCCTGTATTACGCCACTAAGTAAAATTACTTAAGTAAGCATTAAAATGCTTCAAAGTGAAGATTTTAGATGGTTTACTAAACATTTTATTCAAAGGACACTTGAAAATATTATTTTATTGAAGTGCCAGTAAACCCACTTAATTCGGTCAATTTTAGGGAGAGTTTGATATACAGGGGGTCATCAAAAGTAAAAATTTCAAAATGTCTAAAATATTTGCGTTTTTAGATCATTTTACTAAATTTAAAATATCACATCTTATTAAGGTCATAGAGAAGTACATTTTAAAACCATAAAAACTTATTTTTTGAATTTTCTAATTTTTAACCCTTTGGGGTCATCAAAAATATACTTCCCACAAACTCCCAGTAAGTACAAGTAATCTGGTCATCTCAAGCAATACTTTGCCATAAAAATAGACAACAAAATTAAAACTTTATAAACAAGCAAAAATTCAATTGCTATGATCCACCACATGGCGTATACTTATCCAGTCCTCTATTCACAGTGCACAATTTTGCATCTCAGTAAATTAGCGCGATTAGTAATCATCCTCTGTGTGTGCGAAACAGCCGCGTCCAATTTATAATGGTCTCTTTGGATTGCAACTCGCCGCCTCGACGGTTGCGCGGCGATTACTTATCAAACAATTGTAATTGTGCCTCGCAGGCGAGCGATTCAAATCCGGCGTGCGTATGTGTGAGTATCAATTGTGGATTGTGAATTATCGACACGTGCAAATTACGAGTTACGAGTTTCTTGCCACACACACAAAAGAAGTTTAATAAAATGAACGCAAATGGTTGAGTTTTTGCATTGAGCGTTTGATCGTCCGAAGAGTGCATCGAGGTGCTGTCATGGCGTCGCGCGTTCACCTGGAAAACTCCGCACGTGGGCGTTCTATCTGCATTCAAGAGCAGACTCGGCTCGCTTGCAAGATTATGCAGTCATATATAAATTTATCCATTCGTACAGGGTGTATTCACAATTAGATCAATGCGTATTTTATGTTATTGAATAAGTAATAGTGCAGAAACACCCTGTATGATATCTTGTTCTAAGTGCTCTTCTTTTCCGTTCCGCATGTCGTGGTGTGTCGCTCGCGATTCGATTATGCATCTGCGGTGGAGCGTTAGAACCGCCTCGCGATTGCGTGGGCTTAATAAATTTGATGTATGCGGCGCGCGTGCAGAGGCGTGCTTTTATCAATAAGGTATATAAAACGCCAGAGTGGTAATAAATCTCTTCCTTCTAACCTTCCAACTGGAAGATATATCAGAAAACGAAAAGTTGTATTTTCCTAGTGTCTTAATTAGAGGATCATCTTTGAAAGGAGCAGAAAATAACTTTAAAGACGTGGGAGCTACTGAAGATATTCTTTGAGGGGAAAAATATTTCTTGTGGGGATTATGGTCATAATTTGGGAACGTATTCTGTAGAAAAAAGTTTCAAAATTTTTGTTTTCAATTTTGACCTCTTACAACTCCTAAAATATTGAAGATAGAAAATTTGCAAAAAGTAGATTTTCTTTGGACCTCAAAAAGAACAAATTTAATTATTAAAAATTTTAAAAACTCTAAAATTGATTTTCTTCTTTTTATTGGTCATTGTTTGTGTGGAAGCTGAGCATTCATCTTTTTTTTCTTTGCCCCTCGCACTTCTTTTCCTCCCCCTACTCCCCCCAAAGCACGAGTGGAGCCATTAATCGTTCCGTATGTTCTCTGAGTGACGTGCGCACCAACACACCAACACTACCATCTCAAAGTGTTTATCTGTTTACGTCCAGCATCTCATATGTGTTGTGGTTTTACCTGCGCCATCGTGCCAACTCGCGGTCGCCTCGATCGCCCGTGGCGGATTCAGCCTTGGAGGATCGTAAAAGGTCAAAGATTAATTTTACCGTATGCCAGCAGAGTCGGAGCTCCACGCGCACGCAGCCAGCAGCCAAGCTTTTAACTCTCTTAGCGCTTAACAGATTCGGTACTTACATTGGTGCTGCGCCAGTCGAATTATCGACAAATTTGCATTTATATAGAGCAATGAGCAGCGATTTTCTAGACCTGCAACGGAATCGATTAATTAATCTCTGATTGCGCTCGAGTTTCGTTTTTATAAAAGGTTTTTATTTTATTTTTTTCTTGCTTGAATTTAACGACCCTACAACACTGATGTTCTTTTGGGAGATCTTTTGAAGTTTGCTGGGAGGTGCCACGACGCACCCTTTCATTTATTACAGTGACAATAAAAATTCTTCCTTTGGACGTTTTTATACCGCGCAGTAGTTTTGGGTTTCACTCTTTGTTCAGCGGGACAAAAACGTACTCAACCCTTTTGTGAGATTCAAAATGATCGTTAGACATTTTTATGTAGTAAATTATCTTTTTAACAGCTTAATATTTCATTTTTTTTAATTCAAAGCTATAAAAAATTAATTTTTGCAAATAATTCTTATCAAATCGAAAGTTTTTTTTTTAGTTTTTGAATATTTCAAGCTGTTTTTTTTCTTCTGGCTCGTGTACTACGTCAAGAAGTGAAACTTTCGGTCGACATTTCGTTAAAAATGCCGCTCGCAAACTTCCAAAGACAAGAAGTCATTAATTGGCCTGTGTGTGCTTGTGCTGCGTTGCTGCTCCGTTTGGGTGTGGTCGGTGGGTTTCGATATCTCTCCGCGCGACGCTATCACAATGTTCGCGTTCGAATTCGAGCGGATTTAATTTAATGCCGGACTCCGTCTCTCTCGACCGCGGCGAACACGGTCGAACACGAGATTACAATTACAATAAAACGCGCGATCGTAAATATCGCGGCGCGCCGTGCGTATACCAGAAGTTGTGACAAATCGACGTCGAAATTTTGAACGCAATCTGTCCGCGGCGCAGAATGTAAATAGTGAGTTGCATAGGAAAAAGGAATGGAAAGCGCACACGCGTGCGCCAGCGTTGTGGAGAGCGTGGCGAACGCTGCGATTTTATAATTTATCGGCGCGCACGTCGTTAATTCGCTCGTTATTGCGCGTTCTACCCGGGTTACTAATGAAGCATTCACGATTACAGACGTTAATGAAATATATTGGTATTGCGTTTTGGTTTTGCCCACGGGGGTACGGCTAGAAAATTGTTTTTCTATTGGAGACTTCAATGCGTCGTAGGAAGAAACCCGGGTTTCAGAACTTTGAAAAATCAAAATAATAGTTTAGAAGAAGATTAGAACTTCGAATTTTTGAGATTATGTTTAGAATGTTTTGGAGCATATTAGGACCAATTTTCAAGGTGATACCGTGTATATTTTTGGATATTTTTGGCTTTAAAGATAGTTTTTCATATAAATATTAGTAAATTATGGTTTTCATATTCGTTTTATTAAAATAATTTTAAAAATATTTGTTATTCAAACGTGCAGGATAAAGTTATAAACAAATATGTTAGAAACACAAAAAAACATAAAACTACCCTGTGTATAAGCAGTATTTAGTAATATTGTCCAAAAAAGTAATTTTTTTCTTAAATTTTCTTCTTTAAACACTTTGTATACACCTCTCCGCTTGCAAATTTGTTAAATAGGCCCGACATGTCGTTGGCAGCGACGTGGCCGCGGCCGATATCGACGAAGCATTTGTCCGCGATGCCCACGCGCGCGTCGTGGTCGTCGCCGGTCGCGTCCTATCTGCGCGGTCGACTTAACTTAAGCGCTCAATAATGCTCGCATAATAGATTACTGAACTCCCATTATCGTTCAAATGGATACCCTGGGCCCGCGAGCTTGTAAATCAAAACGACAAAAAGACCACGACAAAGAAAATCGCTACACGAGTGCAATAAGCACAAGACGCGATGTAAGACATTCGAGACAATTCACTAGACTACAGAGGCGATGATTTAATTCTCTTGCAAAGCATTAAATCATCATACATGAAGAGAAAGAATGAATATCAAAATGGGATCAAGATATACCTATTGAAGTTAAGACAAAATTAACAACGCAAAATGGATAAAGACAGAAAAAAATATTTTATTGCTTAAAATATATTTGATAAAATATTTTTTATTGATAAATAATTTAATTTTGAGTTTGGGAAGTAATTTAAACAAAATTTCATGTTTCTAGCTTTTATAGTTTTTGAATTATTCAATTTATAAGTTGGTGACTTTAACGCGCGACTTTTTTGTACCTATTTCTCATCTCAAGAAAGATGTCTACGAGTGAGGTAGCACCATAAAATTTTACCAACATTAACTAGGCACTACTACCCAAATTATGACAAAATTTTACCTCTGTACCTTTTTTCTAAAGTAAATTTTTTGATCAAATCAAAAAAAAAAATACGCTTTTAATAGTAAGACACGAACCCAGGTCCAAGAGGTAGAAGTAAATTAATATATTTTAACCGCGAGTAGAAATCTGATCGTGCGTTGTGTGTTGTGCGTCAGCCTCCTAATTAATTTTTTTCTCTCGACGCACGAACCGAGCAAGCCAGAAAGAAACAGAATACGATCGCCGTTGGCGACGAATATCGATTCGGCCGGCCGGCCGGTCGCCATCTTGTATCCTTGTATCGCATGCGACTATGCTGCGCGGCCGAGACTGTATCTTAATGCGGTCGCTTCAGATATGGCGTTGCGTCTGCGTGTCTGCCTCATAAGTATACATTTTAACATTTTTATCTCTTTTTTGTTCGCTTCTTTATCGCTTGTCGCAATTCGTTGCATGGCCGAAATGTTTCGAAACTTGCGCGTGTTGCAGCGGCTTTTAGGACATAATTGGCACTTTGTAAGCGGCGTAATTGTCGGATCGAAATTATCGCCGCGCGGAATGCGTATTGTCTCTTTGCGTCTTCGCGCTGGAAACGGAGCGAAACGCGCGCGGTCCGGCGAAGAAGCACAAAGACGCGCAAGGATCCGTGGATGGTTGGTAGATGGTAGAGTGTTTGCACACCTGTCGATTGTCGTGCGAGTCAATATGTGACTTGGAGTTAATTTTTTCGGTAACATCAAACAAATTACCCGATTATGTTTATAAAAACGTCAAAATTTTAAGGTTAGAAATGTTTAATCGTTTCAATTTTTTTAGAGGTCTTAGCGTAATAATGTAGTAATCTATTGTTAAAATTTCAAGATGGTATCTCTTATCACTTTTGAGAAATCTGATATTAAAGTTGGAGACTTCAATGCGCGTTTCAAAAAATTTCAATTTAAAGTTAATATTACTAAAGTTAAAATAAAGATACGCACCTGAAATTTTGACACAGTAAACTAGACACTTGTAAAAATGCTCAACCCATATTTGGTAGTTGTACCTTTGGTAAAACCCAAGTTATCCGGTTCTAAACCAACCACTTGCAGAATAACAGTATAAGACAGTAACCCGGGTCTCAGACAACTTCACAAGTAAAAATCCCGATTTCTCGCGTAGTAAAACGGTTTTCATTGATTACGAGCGCGGACAAGTTGTTCGTGAACTAGAACCGCTGTCGTCGGCGCGTGCTTAGGGGTCACGAGCCGCACACCGCGAATCCGGCCAAACGAGTAACGAGTTCACGACTCTCTCGGAGTCTCCGGTGTGGGTGTCCGCGCGACCCGCGGTCTGCCGCCCGTCGATGTTGATATTCCTGTTTTGGGTCACCCCGCGAGCGTGCACACACCGGTAAAACGCACCAGCAAGCGCCGGCCGCGCAACCTACCTCAACGCGCTTTTTATAGAGCGGCGCGTGTGCAACCACTCTATTACGAACTGGTTTCGGGCAAACCGACAAACGACAAGCTGGTTACCAGTTACCAGTTGCCACTATCTTGGTATCTGGTGTTACGGGGCATCCTCGCAGGCGTAGATTCGGAAGTGAAGCCAAGTGTGGCGCCTGGCCAGGATCAGGTTTTTGTATGCTTATGCCGCCCGACAACAACAGGCCTCGTCTTCTTTTACTACATCTTAGACCTGCTGTTGTTGTTGTTATTCTTCGCTGCGGTGAAGAAATTATGCACGACTTGTGCGCGCTACGTGCGCATCAAAGCATTTATTGGTGTTTTACTATGGGTTTAAATGCCCGACGCGTGTTTAACGCGCGTGACGGCGTTACAAAATCGGCGCATGTTTAATTTATCGCTGCTAAACTAGACTTAAGACTCCAGGCACTTAAGTGCGTTTAGAGATTATTTTTATCCGCCAACAAAATTGAAATTGCTGGTTAACCACTAACTGTGGGGATTTGAAATTTAGCAGATGGTTTGTCCATATACTTGTGGACATTTTGTACTTTGTGTGTATTTTGTATCTTTTACACAACCAAAGATATCAAGGTTTAAAATAGCATAAATTAAATTTTTGCAAAAAAAAATTTTGGTTTAGAAAAATTTAAATAACTTTTAAACAAATAAAAATTTTGCATTGAAATTTTGAATATAGGTTAACTAATTACCAATCTGTAAATTAAAGTTTACAGAGTTGCATTATCTTTATTAGTTTTGAAGATATTGAGCTTCAAAATTTTGAAAATTTTATTGTTTGTGTTTGTAGAATAGCTGCACTCTTGGCGGTCTACGCAACCCTTTTTAATACCTAATAATGGTCAATTCTTTGTGCGCCCCTATTTCAAAAACGCAAAATTGCCCGGGGCATTTGCCCGTCAAACACTAATTGGTAAAAATTCCACCTGGACGTAGCTACAGAACAAAACAAAAAAAAACTTTGAAAACATTTTACTATTATGTGTGTTTACGCGGTTCGGCTGGTGTGTTTCAAAAATAATGTGCGTCATTGTTCGACCTTGTCTTATGCGAACGCTCGAGTACTTTATTTTACACTTATTTTTCGACCTTGCACGTTAAAACGCTTCCAAATGGCGAACTACTACGGTAATTTCGAACGTTCGAAAAAGACGTTAAAAGTCTGCCATTAAGATGAGTGTTTAGTGCTTAGGTGGTTTTTTTTTTTTAATTAACGGGACGCACTGTATACGAAGACGCGACGGCGCGCCGTGGAAACAAAACGCAATTACCTCATCGCGCGAATTATTAATCGCACCATCAGTTTTTTGCTTTCCGCGAAGCGGTAATAAACAATATTAATT